CGTCCGCCCGGAGCCTCGCGCATTCGGCCTCGAGAGCCCTCCAGGGCAATCGGGGCGGCTGCGGTCCCCCGGGCTTAATCAGGAAGCGTTTCCTGAAGGAGGCAAGCGAAGAAATGGCGCATAGGGGTGAGCCAGGGCCCAGGAGACCGCGGCGGAGAGAAGTGGGGTCGGGGCGGCGCTCCCTCGGCTGTGGATTGAGGTTAAGGTTAAGAGTGCCGGGCGCCCGGCCCATCTATGGGGCTGAGGAGGGAACGTTCGCAGAAATAAAACGAAGCTGCAGCGTGATTTTTACATCAGGAAGTCTTGCCCTAAGGAAAATTTGGCTGGAACAGTTTGGGTTGCTTGAGGGCTAAAGCTGCAAAAAACAGCAAAGGCTTCAGCCCTGCTGGGAGCAAGGTTGTGCCCACAGTTCCCCAGCGAACGGTTCTTCAGACGCGCAGGGGGCGTACTTCCTCGCGCGCATGCGCGGTCTCAGCTCGCAGAGCCCTCGGCGCGCTGCAGCCTGCGCGGCCAGGCTGATGCGCTTGTTCTCCAGCTGGTGCTACCCACAGTACCCGTGCATTATTCTGGGTGCCAAGGGGAGGCGCGATTGGGGCATCTGCCTTGCCCGCCTACTTGGCGTTAAGGACACTTAAGGCCTTGCGCGGGCTGTGGCTGCTTTTGCGGATTTGCAAGTCAGGGTTTTCGCAGGCGCGTGGTCACTGTATCCGCCCGGTTCAGCCCAGGTCGTCGGCCGTGGGCGCCGCCTGGAGGCCACACGGAGCCTTGCAGCTCAGGAAGCCCAACGAGTGCGTCTCCTAGCGCTTCTAAAATGTTCTCAACCGGAAAGTGCTTAGTGAAATTGGTGAATAAACCTGGGATTATTCCTGCCTTCGCCTTTTACTACTTGAGATCGCAACCCTGGCCCAAACTTCGGTTTCCTCCTCATCTGAAAACGATAGGATTGAGAAGAACAGATTACAGAGGCAGGAGGATTGCTGCGAGTTCGAGGCCACCTGAACTACACAGCGAGATCCTGTTCCAAAAAAAACCCAAAAAACCCAAAAATACAAAATGTCCTCTGAACTTTCTTCACATCTCAGTTAAGCTTGTCTGGCCAAATTTGGTTCTTCAGAGTTTAACCTCTTTTTTTTTTTTTTTCTACTTTTTTACGAGTTTAACTTTTTTTCTGGCATTTGTTTCAGAGGTGGGAGTGGTCTTTTAGGGCTCAGTTTTTCCCTTCTCAGTGGTCTTACTTAGACCAAGATGCTTTGATATCATTCTTAGGGCTCTTAATAGTGGAGAAAACCAGGAAAGGAATGGAGGATCTTTCTTGTCTCTGAATTTCGTTACCTTCAAGAGGAGAAGGAGAAGGCTGCACCCTTTCACAGTCCTCTGAGGAGCAGATCTCACAGTGGAGTTCCTGCCAGGAAGGTGGTCATAAGGAAAAAAGGATAAATGATCGTCCTCTATCTGTGGGGAAGGTGTTCAGGTGCCTCTCCTACCCAAATCCCTCACCTAGAATAGCATTAGCATGGAGTCTGCGCAGCCTCTTGTATAGTGATGAAATCACCTCTACATTCCTTACAACACCTAGCACAATGCAAATGCTAGCTAAATAGTCCTTACACTATTCTTTAGGGAATAATGGCAAGCAACACAGTTCAGTAAAGCCATGATTTCCCTCATTATTTATCTGAGACGGGTCTCCCATGTAGTTCAAACTGGTCTTGACTATGCACCTCAGGCTGGCCTAGAACTTGTGAGCCTTCTGTCTCAGCCTCCTGAGTGCTGGAATTACAAGTGTATGCCACCAGGCCTGTGTTTATTTATATTTATGATCCTAGGGATTGAGCCCAGGGCCTTTGCACTGAGCCCCATCCCCAGGCTTTAATTTTTTTAAATTTTATTTTGACACAGGGTCTTAGTCACCAAGTTGCTGGGCTTGAATTTGCTGCAGTCCTGCTGCTTCAGCCTCCCAGAGTTCTGGGGTTATAGGTGTGCACCACCACCACTCTTGGCTCTCAAAACATTTTCAGTCTACAGTAGGTTGATTCCACGGATATGGAGTCCATGGGTATGGAGGGCCAATGTAATCTTGTGATTCTGCAGGCAGCAGCCATTTGCAGGTTAAAGGCCTAGCTATAGTTTAATGATAAAGCAAATTCATTCATTAGGGTTTATAAAAGTCTAGTGACTTCTCTTGCCCAAAGTGTCTAACCTGCACTCTCAGAGCTAATGAAAGCAACTGTTGTAATGACAGCAACTGTCTTTGGAGTCCTTGGATACTACCACTCATTTTGTATGTGTAATTCACCTAAACTGTGTGTCGTGTATTTATTTAGGAATGCAAAGAAGGTATGCCAACAAGGATATGTAAAGCAGGACATAAATATGTCTTTTGAAAATTTTTTTGTTTGAGACAGGGTCTTGCTATGTAGTTCAGACTTGGCCTTGAACTCACTATGTAGCCCAGGCTGGCCTCAAACTCATGGTGGTCCTCCTGCCTCAGCCTCCTGAGTGCTGGGATTGCAGGTGTGCAACACCACCCCTGGCTCAAGTTTAAGTCTTTTAGGCAAAACCAGTAGGCCACTAGCAAGAATGTAATTCATTAATACCCATGAGGTACCTCTTCCTGACAGTAGTGAATAATAAATTAAGGGAATAAATTCAAAGAAATAATTATTACTGACAAAAGAGGGGTGAATATGACCTCAATTAAGGAATCTGATTTTTTTTCCTGCACTGGGGATTGAATACAGGGCCTCATGCATGCTAAGTGCTCTACAACTGAGTTATAGACCCAGTCCTTTTTAAAATTTTTAAGCAGCTGGGTATGGTGGCACAACATCTGTAATCTTAGCACTACAGAGACTAAGGCAGAATTGCCTCAAGTTCAAGGCCAGCCAGAGGTACATGCTGAGACCCTAAATCAATCAATCAATCAGTAAGATTTTAAAACAAGGTCTGTGGCTCATAACTGTAATTCTAGCATTTTGGGAGGCTGAGGCAGGAGGACCAGGATTCAAAGTTTGAGGCCATCTTGGGCAATTTAGTGACTTACGCATCGTCTCAAAATTAATTAATTAATTAATTAATTTACTTATTTATTTATTTAGTACCAGGCAGGCGCTGTGCCACTGAGCTATATCCCCAGCCCATGTCTCAAAATATAAAAAAATTTTTTTAAAGGGCTAGGGATGTAGTTAAGTCTGAAGGCCCCAGGTTCAATCCTCAGTGTTGCAAAAACAATACAAAACAAAACAAACAAAATACACACAAATCAACAACAAAAAACCAGGGTCTGGCTAAGTTGCCCAAGCTGGACTTGAACTTTTGATTCTTCTCCCCAAGCTACTCTGGCACCATGCTGCCTGGCTACAGCTTATAGTTTTTAAAAATCAAAGTATTAGCTCAAACTTTAAATCTTTAGAAAACCAAAATGTGCCAACACGAGGACAGAGCTGTCACCCTCAGAGATTTCCAGGCTGATTCTCAGAGGCACCTGGCAGGCTGGGGAGAAACCTGGCCCCAGCAGGCAGTCTGTCAGCTCGTGCGAGCCTCCAGGGAACTGAAACACAAAAGCTTCCGCAGTCACAAAGCTCCAAAAGCTGTTAAGTGTCTGGAGCTCTTTGGAGGCTGAGTCAAGGGGCCTGGGCTCTTGCTGTCTCTCCTGTCTGTGGCTCCTTTATGCCACCATCCCATGCTGGGAGCCACACAGGTCTGGTTACTTTAGCAGGCAGTTGGCCCTTTGTGTTGATTCAGAGAATTTAAGATTATACATATGAGGGTAAGGTCCAACTACATAGATCAATTTTTTTTTTTTCAATATAGAGATTCAGCCCAGAGCCTTTGCACTGAGCTACATCCCCAGCCCTTATTTATTTATGGTTTTTTGAAACAGGGTTTCATTACATAATTCAGACTGGCCTCGAACTCACACCAGTCCTCCTGTCTCAGCTTCCCAAGTGCTGGGATTATAGGTATGCACCACCAAACCTGGCCCTTTTTTGTTTGAAACAGGGTCTTGCTAAGACCCTAAGTTGTCCAGGCTGGGCTTGAGCTTGTAGCCCTCCTGCCTCAGCCTCCTGAGTAGCTGGGATTACAGTTATGTGCCACCATGCTCAGTTACATGGATAAAATATTACCAGATTACCTACTTTCACCAGGTATATCATACACAGTCCCCGTAGGGAACAGATGATGTGTTCAAAAATTTTGGGGGCAGGCTCTCACTTTGTAATTCAGGCTACTCATGAACTCACTGTGCAGTTCAAGATGGCCTCCAACTTGCAGTGATTCTCCTGCCTCAACCTTCCAAGTGCTGGATGACAGGTGTGCACCACTATGCCTGGTGAAGGAGTATTTTTAAAGTATGTGGGTACCTGTTGGACGTGGTGATGCACACCTGTAATCCCAGCACTTGGGAGGCTGAGGCAGGAGGATCACCTTTGTTCATGGCCACTACACAATGAGACCCTGCCTCAAAAAAACAAAACAAAACAAAACAAAAAGGGCGGGGCACAGGATGAGTCAGTAACGAGTTTAATAACAGCCTAGACCTAAAAAGATAAAGGGAAGTGGTGGTGAATGAAAGAAGCAGCAGGTGAACTGAGGGATAACGCTAGATGAAAGGAGCTCATGGGCCGGGGTGGGGGGCACCTGTGAGGCTCACGTATTAACTTTAGCTCTTTCTCCTCCCAGGTTTGCACCAGGGCGCGCCCTGTTGGTTGCATGCAGAGGGAGGCCACAGTGCTGACACCCCCGATGAAGGTCACACAGGGTCAGCCTCCCAGGACAGTGCAGAGGTGCAGAGGGAGGTGGGAAATCTGGGAAGGAGACAGGAGACATAGCAGCCCCGGACGTCAAGACCTGTCATCCTCAGAGGTTGCCTTCGCCTCTCCTGTTCAAGGGGCACTGCCAGCAACACTATGCAGATTCAGTTCCTGAATTCACTTTGGAACAAAATTTACTTTGGGGAGCTTGTAGGAATGGCTGCCTGGGGAAGTGAGGACACTCTCTGTGATGGTCAGCTTTTCATCACTGTGACGAGATTCCTGAGAATAGCAATTTAGAGAAGTTCATTTCAGCTCACAGTTTCCAAGGTTCCAGTCCAGGGTCAGCTGGCTTCTCTGCTCTAAGCCTTACGACAGGCAGGAACATCATGGCGGAAGGGATTATGGAGGAGGGGGAAAGCTGCTTACCACATAGTGGCAGGAAGCAGAGTGAGGGAAAGAGCCAGAGAGAAAGTGGCTGGGGACAAGCTATAGTCCCCAAGGTCACACCCCATGGCCTACACCCTTCAATGGGCCCCACCTCCTTGGCCCCACTCAGCTGTGAATTCGCAATGCAGCAGAGCCAGCGCCCTCCTGATCCAACCACCTAAGTGCCACCTCTCAGCACTGGGGTGTTGGGACTGAGCCTTTAATACACGAGTATTGCACGTATTGCACTAAGCATGTCTCCCTCTCCACATTGTTTTTCACTCCTGGGGATCCAACCCAGAGGTGCTGAACCACTGAGCTACAACCCTGGGTTTTTGAGACAGGGTCTTACTATGCAGTTTAGGCTGGAGGGGCCTGGGATACAGCTCAGCGGCACAGCGCCTGCCTGGCAAGCGTGAGGTTGGGAGTTCCATTCCTGGTACAAATAAATAAATAAATAAATAAATAAATAAATAAATAAATAAATTTTAAAAAAGTAGTTTAGGCTGGCCTCTAACTCACAGCAGTCCTCCTGCCTCAACCTCTCAAGTACTGGGATTATACACATGTGCCACCCCCTAGCCCCAACCCTGGTTGTTTTGTTTTGTGACATAGGGTCTCACTGTGTAGGCCAGGCTGACCTCAAATTTACAATCCTTACCAGGTGTGGTGGTGCACACCTGTAA